ATCATGTCTTCCCCTTTATCATGTCTTCACATTTATCATGTCTTCCCCTTTATCATGTCTTCCCATTTATCATGTCTTCCCACTTATCATGTCTTCCCCTTAATCATGTCTTCCCCTTAATCATGTCTTCCCCTTTATCATGTCTTCCCCTTAATCATGTCTTCCCCTTAATCATGTCTTCCCCTTTACCATGTCTTCACATTTATCATGTCTTCCCATTTATCATGTCTTCCCATTTATCATGTCTTCCCCTTTATCATGTCTTCCTTTAATCATCTCTGCTCCTTTATCACGTCTTCCCCTTTATCATGTCTCTCCCTTAATTATGTCTTTCCCTTTGTCATGTCTATTCCTTTATCATGTGAACTCCTTATCATGTCTATTGCTTTATCATGTCTACTTCTTTGCCATGACTTCCCCATTATCACATCTACTCATATGTACCATATCTTCCTCTCTATCATGTCTACTCATTAAATATGTCTTCCCCTTTATGAGGTTCACACCTTTATCATGTCTTCTGCTCGTCTCCATCTTCCCCTTTACCATGTCTACTTATAATGTTTACTCATTTATCATGTTTTCCCCATTATCACTACTTTCTTATGTCTTCCTCTTTATCATGTCTTCTCCTAATACCTAGTGCTGTATTATGGCTTCCCATTTATCACGTTTAAGCTTTTATCATGTCTTACCCTTTATCATGACTACTTCTTGATCATGTTTTTATCTTTATTATGTCTTCCCCTTTGTCATGTCTTCCACTTTATCATGTCTTCACCTTTATCATGTCCACTCTTTATCATTTCTACTCCATTATCATGTCTTCCCATTTATCATATCTTCCTCTTTATCATGCCTTTCTCTTTATATCTTCTCCTTTATCATCTCTTCTCCTTTATCATGTCATCTTCTTTATCATTTCTACTCCTTTATCATGTTTTCTCATTTATCATATCTTCCTCTATTATGTCTTCCCCTTTTATCATGTTTCCCACTTTATCATGTCTTCTTTATCATGTCTTTTTTATCATGTCTTCCCCTTCACCATGCCTACTCTATGATTCTTTCACTGCCGTTTATTCCCCTTGATTCTTGTACAAGGTTTGGTGTATACCTTGAAACGTTCTCAGGCTTTATCTTGTGCTTTACCAGTAAGAATTTTACCAGGGGCTGCATTTCTAAGGCTTGGTCTCACATACATTGCATTCAGTCTTCTGAAGAGTTCGTTGCACAGGTTCCCGTGAAGGCTATCCGGATATAAATCATGATATAAATGATATGTTTGTATGGAAATATAGAGATTCAGATAATAATGGCTGCTTAGTTAGTAGAGTATTTCTTTAGTTTATATGGGCACTAATTATATAAACAGCCTATCGGACATAACATAATGAGTGCAATGATTTTTTTTTTTATTTTGGGGGTTATTATTTTACTGGTCTAGTGTGCACCTGTGGGCTGAAGTTTGGTGTTCAGTAGGCTTATAGATCCTTGATTTCATCTTATGCTCCATGCTACATAGCCTTCCCGGCTTGGTGCCTTCTATGATAATTACTTACTCATCCTATGCTGCATTGGCCATGGGATCTCCCTCCTTACTCTGCACTTTTTTGGGTGGAATTCAAATGGCCTTTTCTCAGATCATCTCTGAAGTTTGTTTAGATTTTCTTGCATTCTCCCAGTTTTCAAGTCTTCTCATTAGTTTCGAACTCCCGACAAAGAAGGATATAAATGCGTCTGTTTCTTCAGTCAGGTCATAACACACACCAGAAACCAGAATTTACCTGTATTTACCCGAGGGCCTCTAACGCTCTAGTGGCCCTCTATGAGGACAGGAAAAGCCCCCGCCTCCCAACCCTGATGATGCAGGATAGGTACTGATATAACTCTTTATTGTCGGGTTCAGGAAGCCTGTACTTCGGCTTGTCTAGGCCACCCCTAGACCTAAGCCAATTACTGACCTCTCCCATGCAATTCACAACAGTTGCCTAGTTCCTGGGTACGGGTTCCTCGATTGTAGGGCCAGGACGTAGACTACTGCACCTTGTAAAGCAAGGTGGCATGGGCATCCCTCATTAGATAGATACCTTCTATCCCCCAGCTTCTAGCTTCATTATTGTACACTTGCTGATATTGAACTCTATAAACCACATGTAAGACTACTATTGTTGGCATGTGTGCATAACACATTTGAGATTTAATTAAATTAACAGAAAAGGAAAAATATATATGAAAGTTCCAACCAAAGTAAAAAAATACACGCGAAAGTTTTGTATACGAACATAAGCATTAACATAATTAATAATTTGCATATCATTTACATAAACTGTTATATATATATTCTTGAAAACAACATAAAGAAAAACAATTTCTTCATCTTAAAAAGTTGAGATAAAACAAATTCAATTCCCTTTGAAACATAAAAGTCTTGGAGGAGAAATATTATGTAGTCACCAAGGCAGTTCTCCCGCCAAAAAACGCCGCCAGACGGCAGCTTCATGTACTAAGTTTTGTACCCAACAAAGGCCAATGGGAAGACTGCATTAGCCAACTTTTGCCATAGATATCAAACTGGAAAACAAAACTTCCGCCGCATTGAAAAGAGGCAAAAGAATAGGAGTTAAAATGTTGCTTAGAAGTTTTTCGGAGTTTTAAAATGTCTGGAATTAGAGGTTTGTATTTTTTTTAAGTGGTTTTAAATGGAACATTGTAGATCAAAGGAAGCCATAATCGTGCTTCTTCGCATTGTAAATGGCATGGAATTTGAGGAACAGAGAGCGAGAGAGAGAGAGAAGAATGGTTTCTCTAACCTTTAGTAATTATGCAAATTATCCAAGAACGTGCAAATTAAACGCAGAATCTAATCAGATCTACATTGCATCCTCCTAATAACCACACCGAATTACATTATCCAGACAGGCGCAATGTCTTTAAGTTTAATGGCTTACTTGCTTAGTCACTTAATTACATACTCACTGGGGGATTGTGTGTGGTAATAATGCCAGGGGAAATTGACAGGGTAGACAAGGATGGATTATTTAACACGGGTGGTACACGCACAAGGGGACACAAGTGGAAGTTGAGTACCCAAATGAGCCACAGAGACATTAGTAAGAACGTTTGCAGTGTCAGAGTAGTAAGTAAATGGAATGCACTAGGAAGTGATGTGGTGGAGGCTGACTCCATACACAGTTTCAAATGTAGATATGATAGAGCTCGAGAAACTCGGGAATCTGTACACCAGTAGATTGACGGTCGAGAGGCAGGACCAAAGACTGAAAGCTCAACCCCCGCAAGCACAACTGAGTGCAACTAGGTGAGTACACACACAAAAAAAACACCCCTAGGTCTCGTTCTTTATTAGAGCTCTGGAAAAGAATTACAGAACTCTAATAAAGAACGAGACCTTGGGGTATTTTTTGGGGGGGGATAGTAAACTGTCGCCAGAGGAACATAAAGAACATTGTGAGAGGAGCGTACGTATGCTTCGCTTTCCAACTTCAGACTTGCTTTTATTATATGGATGGTGAAATACTAAAACTATTCATGTCGTTTGTGAGACCAAAACTGGAATATGCAGCAGTTGTATGGTGCCCAAATCTCAAGAAGCACATCAATAAACTGGAAAAGGTACAATGGCGTGCTACAAAATGGCTTCCGGAACAGAAAAACAAGAGTTACGAGGAGAGACTACAGGCATTAAACATGCCAAAACTAAAAGATAGAAGACAGAGAGGTGATATGATTACTACTTACAAAATACTAACAGGAATAGACCAAATTGACAAAGAGGAATTCCTGAAGCCAGCAACTTCACGAACAAGAGGACACAGATTCAAGCTAAGGAAACAGAGGTGCCGAAAAAATGTTAGAAAGTTTTCATTTGCGAACAGAGTGGTAGACGGTTGGAACAAGCTAAATGAGAAGGTGGTGGTGAAGGCCAAAAGCGTCAGTAGTTTCAAAGCGTTATACAACAAAGAGTACTGGGAAGACGGGACACCACGAGCGTAGCTCTCATCCTGTAACTACACTTAGGTAATTACACACACACACACACACACACACACACACACACACACACACACACACACACACACACACACACGTACACACACACACGTACACACACACACGTACACACACACACACACACGTACACACACACACAACGCGACACACACACACACACGTACACACACACACACACACACACACACACAAACACACACACACACACGTACACACACACACACACGTACACACACACACGTACACAAACACACACACACACACACACACACACACACACACACACACACACACACACACACACACACACACACACGTACACACACACACACACACACACACACACACACACACACACACACACACACACACACACACACACACACACACACACACACACACATTGTGTTGTGCTAACAGAGTTGTAGAAAGTTGGAACTATTTAAATGGATGTCAAACCATTGGTAGTTTTAAAGCGGCATGTGACAAAGATTAAAGGAAAAATGGGCCACCATTGGCCTAGCTCTCATCCTGTAATTACACCGAAGTAATAACACTTAGGTATAATTGAGGAACACAATTACTTAGGTCTCACACACACACACATACACACCAGTTTCAAAAAAAGATATGATTGGAAACCGGTTCGAAAATCATTGCATTAGTTAACCAACAGGTGGTAACAAACGGAGCTCAGGAGCTAGCATTCAACCTTACAAGTACATTTAAGGGAAGGGGGAGGGAAAGCACCCAAGCCATTACGACTATTATGCACATGGAAGGGGTCAGGATAAGGATTTTGGATGAGACAGGGGTAAAGGAATGGTGCCCAACCACTTGGACAGTCGAGGACTGAGCGCCGACCTGCATGAAGCGAGACCGTCGCTCTACCGTCCTCCCCAAGTGGTCGTACGTACATTTAGGGAAGAACACCTCAAGTGCTAAATCACCATATACACACTACTCACGAAAACGTGGCATTGGGATCGACCCCTGGCGACGCCCTTGGGAGGTGAAGGATATTGGCGGGAAGACCGTCCTCGGACACCCACTTCTGCTCCAGAGGCTCCTGCTGGGTCATGGTGGTGTCCTGGGACATTTGGAACAGGATCTGTTGGGGGTCAAGAACTTGGGGTCAGATCTGTTGGGGGTCAAGTACTTGGGGGTCAGATCTGTTGGGGGTCAAGTACTTGGGGGTCAGATCTGGAAGGTTCATTTTTAAGTCAGGACGTAATGATCAAACAGGGGAAAGAAATTATATAATTGTAACTCTGAGAATGAACACTTTTAAAAGTTTACGAATCGATTAATGGTGGGATTTGAATCTGGCATCACAGAGAAGGGGGAAACAGCTTCAAGGATGTCATTATATGCAAAGAATATTCGTCCGGGGAAGGGGGGGGGGGGGGAGGGGGAGTTGGAGGGGGGGGGGTGGAAGTAGTTAACCAGCAACACCTTCTTGGCCGGGGGTCCCCAGTCTTGGCCGGGATGCCCAGTCTTGGCCGGGGTGCCCAGTCTTGGCCGGGGGTGCCTAGTCTTGGCCGGGGTGCCCAGTCTTGGCCGGGGGTCCCCAGTCTTGGCCGGGGGTCCCCAGTCTTGGCCGGGGGTCCCCAGTCTTGGCCGGGGGTCCCCAGTCTTGGCCGGGGGTCCCCAGTCTTGGCCGGGGGTCCCCAGTCTTGGCCGGGGGTCCCCAGTCTTGGCCGGGGGTCCCCAGTCTTGGCCGGGGGTCCCCAGTCTTGGCCGGGATGCCCAGTCTTGGCCGGGGTGCCCAGTCTTGGCCGGGGGTCCCCAGTCTTGGCCGGGGTGCCCAGTCTTGGCCGGGGGTCCCCAGTCTTGGCCGGGGGTCCCCAGTCTTGGCCGGGGGTCCCCAGTCTTGGCCGGGGGTCCCCAGTCTTGGCCGGGGGTCCCCAGTCTTGGCCGGGGGTCCCCAGTCTTGGCCGGGGGTCCCCAGTCTTGGCCGGGGGTCCCCAGTCTTGGCCGGGGGTCCCTAGTCTTGGCCGGGATGCCCAGTCTTGGCCGGGATGCCCAGTCTTGGCCGGGGTGCCCAGTCTTGGCCGGGGGTCCCCAGTTTTGGCCGGGGTCCCCAGTCTTGGCCGGGGGTCCCCAGTCTTGGCCGGGATGCCCAGTCTTGGCCGGGGTGCCCAGTCTTGGCCGGGGTGCCCAGTCTTGGCCGGGGTGCCCAGTCTTGGCCGGGGGGTCCCCAGTCTTAGCCGGGGTGCCCAGTCTTGGCCGGGGGTCCCCAGTCTTGGCCGGGGGTCCCCAGTCTTGGCCGGGGGTCCCCAGTCTGGGATGATTATACCATGACAGGGACGACTAACCATGTCAGGGACGACTAACCATGACAGGGGCGACTAACCATGACAGGGACGACTAACCATGACAGGGACGACTAACCATGACAGGGACGACTAACCATGACAGGGACGACTAACCTTGGAGTGCGTGAGGTCGTTGCCGGCCTGCATACTGTAGGAGGCCCAGTGAGACCCTGCCAACGATACTCGGCTGCCGGGGATAGCCGAGACGGTGACCCTGAGACCCTCATGCCCGGCGTCCTCCTGCAGGGACACCCGGAGGCCCTTCCTGGTGAGGGCGTCCACGGGGAAAGTCAGGGCGTCCGCCACCAGTTCTTCGTCGCGTCCAACGGTGAAGACAACCACGGTGGCCACTCCGGCCACCTCTGCCGACAGCGGCAGAGGGAAGGTCTTGAGGGACGCCTGCAAGGTGAGAGGGGAAGGCATATATAGAAAGAGACAGACAGGCAGGCATGCAGGCAGACAGGCAGACAGACAGTCGACTGGCGTTGACTACGTATTTCATCCCTATCAGAGACAAGAGTTTCCAACTTTGGCAAAACGTCTCACATTAACGCTAATAGTTTGGTCCAACTTTGGACATTATCGAATACTCTCTTGCCGAGGATGTCCAGGAAAAGTGTGTCTAGCTTTACGGATGGTTCCGGATGCTGTTATCATCTTTATCCGGATACTGGGAGAGTAAAAATAGATGGCGAGTTGCCAGGTTTTGTGAGAGTTTGTGTGTGTGTGTGTGTGTGTGTGTGTGTGTGTGTGTGTGTGTGTGTGTGTGTGTGTGTGTGTGTGTGTGTGTGTGTGTGTGTCACCCAAGAGCCCAGTTACGCTCTAGTATGCATCCAGCAGTTTCGACAAGGTTGAGCAATAGCTCCTCACCTCACCTTTCCCCTCTCCTGGTCAGTTAGTGCAATGGCTTTGATCCCTCCAATTTCTTGTCCCATTTCCTTTTAAAGCTGCTTATTGAATTTGCTTCAACTCTCTCCTCATTTAACTTACTTTTGATCTTTATGCTGGAGAACATTTCCTGACGTCTCTCTTGTCCGTCAGTGTTCCTAGGCTTCATCCATGCCCTCTGGTTCCCTCGCTTCTCTAGCTGAACATTACAGTAATATCTTTGACGTTGTTATCATGTACCCGCTGATTCGCCTTTCCTCTAGTTCGATCCTTTCTACTCTCTCTCTCTCTCTCTCTCTCTCTCTCTCTCTCTCTCTCTCTCTCTCTCTCTCTCTCTCTCTCTCTCTCTCTCTCTCTCTCTCTCTCTCTCTCTCTCTCTCCTCTCTCTCTCTCTCTCTCCTCTCTCCTCTCTCTCTCTCCCTCTCTCTCTCCTCTCTCTCCCTCTCTCTCCCCCTCTCTCTCTTCTCTCTCTCTCCTCTCTCTCTCTCTCTCTCTCTCTCTCTCTCTCTCTCTCTCTCTCTCTCTCCCTCTCCCTCTCCCTCTCCCTCTCCCCTCTCTTCTCCCTCTCCCTCTCCCTCTCCCTCTCCCTCTCCCTCTCTCTCTCCCTCTCCCTCTCTCTCTCCCTCTCCCTCTCCCTCTCCCTCTCCTCTCTCTCTCTCTCTCTCTCTCTCTCTCTCTCTCTCTCTCTCTCTCTCTCTCTCTCTCTCTCTCTCTCTCTCTAACAATCCCTCTGGTTTAGTCGTCACATTATCCGCATTTGTATACCAGACCTTAAGGCTCTTTGTCTTGACAGCTTCTATGGTCTTGGTGACTTTTGATGGGGCCTTTCATTTGTCTTTGAATCCTATGGAAGCAGAAGAGGAGAAGTGGCCCAGTGGATCTGGGGTGAGTGCAAGGGCGGGGGGAAGAGGGGTGTTTCCTGTCTTGAAGAGTCTTGAAAGTTAGATGTAGGGTAGTCGAGTGGTTCCTGGGGGAGGGAGGCACATGATGGCAGTTCTAGTGAGAGATGGAAGGAGTGAGGAAGGAAGGTTAATAAGGCATACGAGTGGAGAGGACACGTCAGTATACCATCCAGGAATATTAGGTCTGATATATATGCTCCCGTGTGATGTTACATCTGTGTTTACGTCCGTCCGTGTGAGATTGGTGGCGTTCACTGGCCTCTGGTATCTGCCTGTGTTTACGCCCGTCCGTGTGAGATTACTGGCGTTCACTGGCCTCTGGTATCTTCCTGCGTTCACGTCCGTCCGCGTGAGATTGGTGGCGTTCACTGGCCTCTGGTATCTTCCTGCGTTCACTACTGCATGCAATTCGGTGTCCTATTTCATCTAGTTTTGATATTAGCTCCAGGTATATATATATATGCTACAGAATTATTCAGCGTGTATGTGTGTACACATCTATGTGTTCTTACCTAGTTATATGCTTGCAGGATCAAGTATCGACTCTTAAGCCCCGCCTTTCGACCATCAATAGATCAATGCCTTTTTTTCTCACTAGTTTTTCTTATCAATTTTCTTATAAATTTATATTTAAAAATGTGTCTTGAACAGTTTCCTCATTTTATCTGTTATTGACTTGTGACTCTTAACTTGAAGCAGTTCCTTTGTTTCTAGTTTCAATGTCTCCCTCATTCTACCGTTCTTCACCTTGATATTGTTTCTTTGTCTACTTGCTCGTTTTCCCCTTAGAATCTTGTATGTTGTTATCATGTCTGCTCTCTTTCTTGTTTCCCTCTGTGTCGGGAGGTCCAGACTTTCTTCGTAGCTCAGTCCCCTTAGCTCGGGGACAAGCCTTTTTGCATATTTTTGGACCTTTTCTACTTTTTTTTTTTAGGCAGGGCGTTCCACGCTAGGCCAGCATACCTAATAATAGGTCCCAAAGGAAGAGCTTGGAAGAGACCTTTGTCCAAGGTGCTGAACGATAACCAGACGTTTGCCATACACCATAATGTATGTGTGTTTGTGTATTAGTTAGAAAAGAAAGCGAGAAAGGTCTCACTCTCTCAAACAAAACAAAATTGAAGACAGGAAGGATGAAAGTGGAGCGAATGTTACGATTACGTATCCAGCACATTCAAAACCAATTGGTTAAATTTTGCACTACAATGTTTTTTATCACAGCGGTGCGAGCTCCTGTTAATGTAGTCTCCAGTTCGATCCCCCTATGTCAAGCTTAATCCCGCAATTCCCAGGAAAAGAAACACAATGCCACCCTCGCACGATAGTGAAGCACGCGTTTAGTAATCAAAGGGGTTTTGTGGGTCTGTGAGTCCGGGGGTTTTGTAGGTCTGTGAGTCCGGGGGGTTTTGTGGGTCTGTGAGTCCGGGGGTTTTGTGGGTGTGTGGGTCCGGGGGGTTTTGTGGGTCTGTGAGTCCGGGGGGTTTTGTGGGTCTGTGAGTCCGGGGGTTTTGTGGGTGTGTGGGTCCGGGGGGTTTTGTGGGTCTGTGAGTCCGGGGGGTTTTGTGGGTCTGTGAGTCGGGGGTTTTGTGGGTGTGTGGGTCCGGGGGGTTTTGTGGGTCTGTGAGTCCGGGGGGTTTTGTGGGTGTGTGGGTCCGGGGGGTTTTGTGGGTCTGTGAGTCCGGGGGGTTTTGTGGGTCTGTGAGTCCGGGGGTTTGTGGGTGTGTGGGTCGGGGGGTTTTGTGGGTCTGTGAGTCCGGGGGGTTTTGTGGGTCTGTGAGTCCGGGGGTTTTGTGGGTGTGTGGATGACTTTTTTGGGTGTGAGAGGGGAAGGGCCACGCGGTGCGAGCTCCGCGGAAAACAATATATATCTAGGGATATTTCAGTGATACAGGAACTAAACACAGTCAGATAACTTTTAAAGTGTGTCTCAACATATTAACCAATATATCATAGTGATTACCATCCGACCGTTTGTGTTCAAGGAAAAATAAGTGAACTTCGTGTGTAGTCAAGGCCTGCCCTCTGGTGCCAGGAGGCCTTAGGCGATAGTTGCCAAGTCGTCAATAAATCACATCTCTCGCTATTGAAACATCAAGTAATCAGTGCCCATAGTGCTAAGCTCTCTATGCAAAACTTGTGTCTATTATAACAAAAATTAAGATAACATAGTCTAATATCAAGTGAACAAATTACACACAAAATAAGTCCGTCGTGTGTGTGTAAACAAGGGCCACTTGGAGGTAGGCCCACCCCAGTACCCTCTTGTGTGTGTATTCTTTCAAATAGTGTAACGTACTCAGGTAACTAGTGCCCAGACACAGAAACTAGACGCCTCTACTGTATGATAACTAGTGGGAAAATGCAAGTAATGTAATCTAACAAGTGAACAAAACAAATTAAGAGTGTGACACGTGGTAGCAACACTGGCCGTCCATACAGCCTCTTCCAGGCCTATCTCAAGTTGGTAAACACCCACGGCCAACACCCACGGCCAGCTCCCACGGCCAGCACCCGCGGTCAACTCCCCCACCGGTCAACACCCCACCTTGTAAGACCATCACCACTGAACAGAAGTGTTCAAAAAATGGCTTTGATAAAAACGTGCATAGAATGCAACATGAAGGTAGATTACCAACAGAGCTTCCAATGCCAACTCTGTTCAGCAGCCATACACAAAAAATGTGCCAACATGACTAACAATTCAAGGAGAAATGGTCCCAGTGACCACTCTGTGTACTGGCTCTGCAAAAAGGATGATGTAACTTTTTTGAAGTTGATGGAAATCCTGGATAAAACTCCCGCCGAAAACAGAGAATTACTAATTAATGCCTCAGGGCGCGGAGTCGGGGACGCCTGAGCAGGGCGCGGAGTCGGGGACGCCTGAGCAGGGCGCGGAGTCGGGGACGAGCGGGCGCGGAGTCGGGGACGCCTGAGCAGGGCGCGGAGTCGGGGACGCCTGAGCGGGGCGGAGTCGGGGACGCCTGAGCAGGGCACGGAGTCGGGGACACCGGAGCAGAGCGCGGAGTCACAGGCCCCGGAGCAGAGCGCGGTGTCACAGGCACCGGAGCAGAGCGCGGTGTCACAGGCCCCGGAGCAGGGCACAGTGTTGGGAACGCCGCAGCAGAGTGCGGTCCCTGGCAAAGGGAAACAAACAAAACAAGACCCCAAAATCTGTTTGTATTACAAATGGGCAACCTGTAAGCATGGGGAATCGGGAAGAACAAATGGAACATGTAAGTACGATCACCCTAGAAAGTGCAGAAACCTCCTCAATACAGGTAAATGTACCAAAAGCTGTGAATTCTTTCACCCAGAAATTTGCAAGAACACTTTGGACAGGAAAGAGTGCTTCAATGCTGAATGTCCAGCTTTTCATATAAGAGGTACCAGGCGAATAAAACCGACAGACTACCACTATGAAAACAGCCACTACTCCATCGACCGGGATAATTTTTTAGCAAGAGGAGGAGGAGAAGAATGGCTAAAAATGACCAGACTCTACCACCAACTCGGTCAAATGCTAGAGAGGACGCAAACACAGTGGCCTCCTTACCAGAGCCTCAGATATTAACACCAAGTAAAGCATCCAGCACTTCCACTAACACGATAACATCATTTATATTTGCCAACATCCAGGGTATAAAAACACGCAAATCCAACAAAGTTCACTTTATAGATGGTCTCCTTCATGAGGCAAATGCAGTGTTTGCAGCCCTAACGGAAACTCACACAAAGGACTACCTTGATGGTGAAATATGGATCTCAGAATACAATCTCTTCAGATGTGATAGGAAACACCGGCTTCAGGGTGGGGTCAGCCTCTACATCAAAGACACACTCATCTGTACTGAGCTGCTAAACACCTCAAATGATATGGTGGAAGTGCTGATAGTCAAAATAGAGATCCTAAATGTAGTTGTTGTCCTTGTATATAAGTCACCGGAGGCAAACCCTCAGCAGTTTAAAGACCAACTAATGAAAATAGAGCACTGCTTGGAAAACCTCACAAATCCAGCTCCGAACATCATCCTGCTTGGGGACTTCAACCTACGGCACCTGAAATGGAAGCACCTGGCTAATACAGTAATATCAGAAAGAATACCAGGAAGTAGCCTAAATGAACAGGCACATGCAAATGACCTGCTACGGATGTGCGATAGGTTTGCCTTAAACCAGCAAATAGTAGAACCAACTAGGAAGGAGAACACGCTGGACCTCATTTTCACTAATAATGATGAGTTGATCGGGAACATAATGATTACAAATACCTGTTACTCAGATCACAACTTAATTGAAGTTCTGACAACCATGGGGAATGGACCTTCAAAACCAGTCCAGATTCCCGGTGGAGGAGATTTCAGCAAATTCAACTTCAATAATAAACAGATAAACTGGGAGCAAATAAACCAGGACTTCACAGAAATAAACTGGGAAGAACAGCTAGAAAATGCAAACCTGAACCAGTGCCTGGAAAAAATAAGCTCAGTAGCACTAGAAATATGTTCAAACCGCATACCCCTAAGAAAAAAGAGAAAGAGATGCAGATTGGAACGGGAACGTCGTTCCCTATATAGGCGAAGAAAACGAATCGCGGAACAACTTGAGAGTCGCACCCTATCTCAAGAACGGCGAAGAAGGTTAGGTAGAGAAATAGAAACAATTGAACTCAAGCTACAAGAATCATACAAAACCCAGGAGAGGCAAAGAGAGCAAAAGGCCATCAGTGAAATAGAGAGAAATCCGAAATATTTTTTCTCCTATGCAAAATCAAGATCAAAAACCACATCTAGTATCGGGCCCCTGCGAAAGGGAGATGGAACTTTCACCGATGACAACAAAGAAATGAGCGAGTTACTGAGGAAGCAGTACGACTCTGTTTTCAGCGAGCCATTAAATGCACTAAAGATTGATAACCCAAATGAATTTTTCATGGATATGATACCAACATCAAATCATATATCAGACGTCGCCCTATCCCCACTAGATTTTGAAGAAGCCATAAACAGTATGCCTATGCACTCTGCACCAGGCCCGGATTCTTGGAACTCCATATTCATCAAGAACTGTAAAAAACCACTATCGCAGGCCCTTCACATTCTGTGGAGACAAAGCCTAGATACTGGCGTTATCCCTGACATACTAAAAACAGCAGAGATAGCACCACTCCATAAAGGAGGAAATAAGGCAGAGGCAAAAAATTACAGACCGATAGCACTAACATCGCACATCATAAAAATTTTTGAGAGAGTGCTAAGAAGTAAGATCACAAAATACATGGAATCACAGCATCTCCATAACCCCGGACAACATGGTTTCAGAACAGGGCGCTCTTGCCTGTCGCAGTTGCTGGACCACTATGATATGGCATTAGATGCTATGGAAGACAAACAAAACGCTGATGTAATTTACACAGATTTCGCAAAAGCTTTTGATAAATGTGACCATGGTGTTATTGCACATAAAATGCGTTCAAAAGGAATTACCGGGAAAATAGGCAGATGGATCTACAATTTCCTGACTAACAGAACCCAATGTGTAATAGTCAACAAAATAAAATCCAGCCCATCAACCGTGAAGAGCTCAGTCCCCCAGGGTACTGTGCTTGCTCCAGTACTTTTTCTCATCCTCATATCGGACATAGACCAGAACACAACCTATAGCACTGTATCATCCTTTGCAGATGACACTAGGATTTTCATGAGAGTTGGCAACATAGAGGACACGGCAAACCTCCAATCAGATGTAGATCAGGTCTTTCTATGGGCTACAGAAAATAATATGGTGTTTAACGAGGATAAGTTCCAGCTCATGCGCTACGGAAAAATTGAAAATATAAAAACAGAAACCACGTACAAAACTCAGGCAAATCATAACATAGAACGAAAAGGCAATGTAAAGGATCTGGGTGTACTCATGTCGGAAGACCTTACCTTTAAAGAACACAATAAAGTAGCCGTCACAACTGCAAGAAAAATGACAGGTTGGATAACAAGAACTTTTCACACTAGAGATGCTATACCGATGATGATACTTTTCAAAACGCTTGTGCTCTCTAGAGTGGAGTACTGCTGCACAATGACAGCCCCTTTCAAAGCTGGAGAAATTGCTGACCTGGAGAGCGTGCAGAGATCCTTTACTGCTAGAATCCACTCAGTAAAACATCTAAATTACTGGGACCGACTAAAGAGCCTAAATCTGTACTCCCTTGAGCGCAGGCGGGAGAGATACATAATAATTTACACGTGGAAAATAATTGAGGGGCTGGTCCCAAACCTGCACACAGAAATAACATCACATGAGACCAGAAGACATGGCAGGATGTGCAGAATACCCCCGTTGAAAAGCAGAGGTGCAACAGGTACTCTGAGAGAGAACTCTATCAACATCAGAGGCCCGAGACTGTTCAACACGCTTCCACTACACATAAGGGGCATAACTGGCCGACCCCTCACAGTGTTCAAGAGAGAACTGGATAAGCACCTCCAAAGGATACCTGATCAACCAGGCTGTGACTCATACGTCAGGCTGCGAGCAGCCGCGTCTAACAGCCTGGTTGATCAGTCCAGCAACCAGGAGGCCTGGTCGACGACCGGGCCGCGGGGACACTAAGCCCCGGAAGCACCTCAAGGTAACCTCAAGGTAGAAACAAATGGGCAAAGTTTCTTTCACCCTGAATGCCCCTGTTACCTAGCAGTAAATAGGTACCTGGGTGTTAGTCAGCTGTCACGGGCTGCTTCCTGGGGGTGGAGGCCTGGTCGAGGACCGGGCCGCGGGGACACTAAAGCCCTGAAATCATCTCAAGATAACCTCAAGATAACAGCCGTGTTTGTGTCGTCCGCTGCACGCCTTCAGAGAGTGCTCACGTTTACACCCGGGTCACCCTCAACCCCTCTCCCCATCCCAGTTATTTTGACCAAAACTATTCCCTAGAGCTCTCAAGAGGAGCTCTTCCCCGTCAACAAAGAGGGACTCTTCCCAAAGGAGAGGAGCTCTCTACCAACACACAGGAGCTCTTTCCCAAGACAGAGGAGCTCTCTACCAACACACAGGAGCTCTTTCCCAAGACAGAGGAGCTCTCTACCAACACACAGGAGCTCTTTCCCAAGACAGAGGAGCTCTCTACCAACACACAGGAGCTCTTTCCCAAGACAGAGGAGCACTCTTCCAAGAGCGAGAGGAGCTCCCAGGACCCACCTCCATCCGCTGCTGGCCGGCCTCGATGACCATGCCCTTGCTCAGCAACACGTAGCGGAACTTCTCCAGGTAGAAGTTGCTCCTGACGTGGAGGATAACGTACTCGCCCACCTGTGTGGGGAGAGAGAGGCAGTTAGTGGGTGACACGATGGGTACGGGGACTTGTGTGTGGATGGGTAACTGATGTGAAGGGGAGGAGAGAAAGAGAGAGAGAGAGAGAGAGAGAGAGAGAGAGAGAGAGAGAGAGAGAGAGAGAGAGAGAGAGAGAGAGAGAGAGAGAGAGAGAGAGGAGAGAGAGAGAGAGGAGGGAGGGAGGGGGGGGAGGGGAGGGGAGGAGTGAGTGGCTGAGTGAGGGAAGGTGGATTAGTGAGTGACTGAATGAGTGAGTGAATGAGTAAGTGTGAGAGAGTGAGCACCGTGGAGTGTATTGTAAACATATATATAAATACAGTTCAGACCTATATGTACACAAGATTCATATATATGTACACTGGATACATGTATATGTATACAGAAAATATGTATATGCACTGAAACAAGTACATATGCCCACCATGTGTTAGTACCCACCATGCATGAACACGTTATTACACTGTGATGAGAGAGGACGCACCTTGGGGCTCCTGGTGCTGGTGGTAACCTGAAGGTGGCGGCCCTTAGGGGAGTGGTGGGCCACGGTGATGAGGGAGGCGTACGACCGGCTCCCAACGGCGTCCTTCAGCTCAGCGTCCAGACGTAGCGACTCGATCTCCATGGCGACCTCGACGTCCGCTGCAGCCAGAGACAGGTAAGGAAAACATTATTTCGGGATTATATGAATCACCTGGAGGACCCCATGCGAGGCAGCTTCATACCCAACTGCTTCCCGCTTGTTTTGATTTCTCACCACAATGGCGTGCCCAAGCTTTTTGACCAGCCGTGGTTTGGCTGTTGGTGTTATGTGGCAGCAAAGGCCCAGACCAAAGGTTCATAGCTGGAAGCTTCACAGACGAACTTGTCGAGAGAATGGAACAAGTTGAACAGTCAGTTATGATCCGAGGGGAATCTGATCATAGCTGATCTGATGTCCATGGGATCGAAGAAGAAAACTGTCATCAGGAAGAGTTGGATGGAAAGGCTGGTGGTCGTAGGATAAACACCGACAAACACAAGTATTGGGAGATACACCTAACCTCTATATACCTCTTAGATACCTTAGTTAGATACTTAGATACTTTATCTTAGTTAGATACCTCCAACTCCTGTTACTTGCACTGGTCGGTCCAGCGAGGGCATCGCTTCTTGTAGGTCGACGTTCGATCCCTGATAATCCAAGTAGATACTCAGGTCAATCAGACACCCAGGTCAGAGTCAGTCCTGAGAGATCAGACTCCAACATCAAACACCCTTAAAGAAGCACCAGACACCACCAAGCTGGGTGAGTGTCCATGGTGACTCATATTAATCAATCCCAAAAATAATTGAAGGATCAATCCGGACACAGCATATTTTTACAAGAGCTTTTTGAGGACCTACAAGGTAAATTAGGTGTAGTCTCCTCTGGGGCCAATCAGCAACACCCTCCTTCCCCACCTGGGGAAGACCATCCCTGTTGGATGGTCCGTATACGATGGTCCATACATAACCATCCATCCCTGGAAACACCGGAGAGTGCAGGAGTCTGATGACCCAGGCTTCGGCCACCTTCAGCCATCCTCCACACGAATCAGCAAGAAAGTCACATCCCAGGATAACCTCCAAGCAGCCCGCGAGAAGAAAAACAAGGACATTAAAAACACGAGTAACACAAACGGGTCACGGAACGAACGGACAAACAAGCGAATAAAAGAAGAAATGGACAGGAGGAGTTAGAAAGGAAGAGGTGGAAAAAATGAATACAGTTAAACAGAGACCGAACAAGAAACGGAAGGAGGGAAATAGACAGAAAACGGAGGAAGAACCTGAACAGAGACGGGTGTCTATAAGAAGGGAAAGGCAGCATCAGGTACAAGAGAAGGCTGACCCACCTAGCTCCCCGTGGAGGTCGAGCTCGGCCTCCCAGAGGGCGTAGCGGGCGTGGGTCATCTTGACGGTGCGGGAGAGCAGCTTCCGTCTCTCGCCGGTGTAGAGCGTCACCTCGGGGCTCACCAGCAGCCGGTGGCGGGACAGGCGCCACTCCGGCACCTTGGAACCATCATGTTGCGTCGCCGACAGCTGTTAAGGGTTAAAGTCGAAGAATGAGATGATGTTATTTAAGATTCAGCTAATGGGAACAAAAAGTTCCAAGTAGCACGGACTATGGTGAGCCCGTTGAGGACTTACCTGGCACAGGAGCAGGGCTAAGAATGAGATGCTGACTGCACCAGTGCTTATATTATTGTAGGGTCAGGTTATGGCGGTGTTGATAGTTATTAAGTCTTAATGATTGCTAATAGTCGTAACTGCTGTGATTAATAGTTTATGATAAGTTTAAGGCTTAAGGCATGCATATATACTGATAATTATTACAATTATTGTTATTATCATGATTAATACGCATCCTTAACGAGAAAAGTATATATTCACAATTAAAGAAAACGTGATCAATCGTAGTATTCTTTGGGTGAACTCACGTAGAACTTGAATGGCATGGCGGGCCGTAGAACCTGTGGCGACTCTCCCAAAAAGTCCAGCTTGATGGCGGAGCTGAAGATCCTGGTGGAGGCGTAGCCGGAGTGTGCCACATCCCAGTAGGCGTCGCCAACTGTGGCAGTCACCCTCACCTCCCTGCCCTCCGTCGTTGACACGAGCTCCTCAAGATCGGACATCCGGAACTTAAAGGCGAAGACTCCTGCGAACTGTGGGAGCAAGTAGGTAGTGCTGTGGTGAGTGGGTATAGGGGTGGTGGTAAGGGAGATTGGGTGGTGGTGAGGAGGGTGATTGAAATTGGTGAGGAGGGCAAAGAATTGATGAGGTGGAGAAGAATGATGGAAGAGAGAAGGATGGAATAGAGGAGAATGAGGGAGAGGATGACAGAAGAGAGGAGAGTGAGGAGGAAGATGATGGAAAAAATGAAAAGGAGAAACAAAATGAAGATTAACAAATGGAACATTAAGAGTAAGAACAGCAACAAAAAATGAGATTATAAAGACAGAAGGAAATGAGAAGTAAAGAAGAGTTAGGTAGATTAAGGAATAAGAAGAGTGAGAACTGACATGACAATTAAAATAATTATATATATATATATATATATATATATATATATATATATATATATATATATATATATATATATATATATATATATATATATATATATATATATATATATATATATGTCGTACCTAATAGCCAGAACGCACTTCTCAGCCTATGCAAGGCCCGATTTGCCTAATAAGCCAAGTTTTCCTGAATTAATATATTTTCTCTAATTTTTTTCTTATGAAATGATAAAGCTACCCATTTCATTATGTATGAGGTCATTTTTTTTTTATTGGAGTTAAAATTAACGTAGATATATGACCGAACCTAACCAACCCTACCTAACCTATCCTAACCTATCTTTATTGGTTAGGTTAGGTTAGGTAGCCTAAAAAGTTAGGTTAGGTTAGGTTAGGTAGGTTAGGTTGCCGAAAAAGAATTAATTCATGAAAACTTGGCTTATTAGGCAAATCGGGCCTTGCATAGTAGGCTGAGAAGTGCGCTCTGGCTACTAGGTACGACATATATATATATATATATATATATATATATATATATATATATATATATATATATATATATATATATATATATATATATATATGTTGTTGAATATGTCCGAAAAGGTAAGATATATATATATATATATATATATATATATATATATATATATATATATATATATATATATATATATATATATATATATATATATATATATATAAATATGTGTGTTGTTGAATATGACCGAAAAGTTAAGATTAATAATTCTAACACGAATCTTCTCAATATTTCTTATGTTTTTCTTCACTGTCGGTGGTAATAAAAATAACAATTCTCCGAAATTTATTTTTTAATTGTCTGACGCCTGAACGCGTTTCGTAATTCGTATTACATTTTCAAAGACTTAATTTACACACAAATTCTTCGTACTTATACTCTATTGGATGAGGTGATATGGTACAAAAGTTTTGGGTGAGGTGACAAACACAAGACAGAACACGAAACAATGGGTATATATAAATTGGATAAGTGAACATATGAATGGAAGTAACTGCAGAAGGCCGATTGGCCTATACTTCCTCTTGCTGCTTCCATATTGGTTCGGGGTCTTGAAGTGGGTAGAATATAGTTGTGCATTAATTGGCTGTTGATTGCTGGTGTTGACTTTTTGATGTGTAGTGCCTCGCTGATGTCAGTTAGCCGCCTGCTATTGCAGTACCTATCGATGATTTCTGTTTTGTTTGTTAAGATTTTTCTGGTGATGGTCTGGTTGTGGGAAGAGATTATGTGTTCCTTGATGGCGCCCTGTTGCTTATGCATTGTTAGTCGCCTAGAAAAAGACGTTGTTGTCTTGCCTATATACTGAGTTCTTTGGGGCTTACAGTCCCCAAGTGGGCATTTAAAGGTATAGACGACGTTGGTCTCCTTCAAAGCGTTCTGCTTGATATCTGGGGAATTTTTCATGAGTAGATTGGCCGTTTTTTTTTGTTTTATAATAAATTATCAATTGTATTTTCTGATTTTTGTCTGTAGGGATGACGTTCCTATCAACAATATCTTTCAGGACCCTTTCCTCCGTTTTATGAGCCGCCGAAAAGAAGTTCCTGTGAAATAGTCTAATTGGGGGTACAAGTGTTGTGTTAGTTGACTCTTCTGAAGTTGCATGGCGTTTTACCTTTCTTTTTATGATGTCTTCAACGAAAACGTTAGAGAAGCCATTGTTGACTAGGTCTTGCCTTACCCTACAGAGTTCTTCATTGACTTGCTTCCATCCTGAGCTGTGGCTTAGAGCACGGTTGACGTAAGCGTTGATAACACTCCTCTTGTACATATACGTACTTGGTGCCATATCACCTCATCCAATAGAGTATAAGTATGAAGAATTTGTGTGTAAATTAAATCTTTGAAAATGTAATACGAATTACAAAACGCGTTCAGGCGTCAGACAATTAACAAATTAATTTCGGAGAATTGTTACTTTTATAACCACCGACAGTGAAGAAAAACATAAGAAATATTGAGAAGATTCGTGTTAGAATTATTAATCTTACCTTTTTGGTCATATTCAACAACATATGTTTACAAGAAAGACTGCTACCAAAATATACTAATATATACTAATATATATATATATATATATATATATATATATATATATATATATATATATATATATATATATATACACACGAAGAAGCTGAAATGGCCCCCAAGCCAATATGCAACCAAATAAATTATATATATATATATATATATATATATATATATATATATATATATAAATCTAGAATAATAAGCAGACAAAGAGCAAGCAGCAGGGATGTATAACCAAAAACAGTTTAACTGCGTTCATGTTCCTCAATGTTCTGTTACTAAGTTACTAACAGATGACTTACGAGCAGCGAGGAACTACCTACAAGCAGCGCGAAGCTACAACAACATTCAGTAAGCAAATCAATTTGATGATTACATCACAAGCAAGGTATTACTATGCATAAAATATGCATCAAAATAACCAGCAGGCCAAACTAACATAAATGCAGAGAAAAACCGTGAAAAAAAGCCAGCAATGTGTCAGGAATATTAATAAATCAAAATCCGGGTTGATTACTGACGAACGCTAGTTTGTTTACGTTTTCGACCAATCAACTGGGAAAATAAGAAAAGTAATCCAGGATGATGATGTTGACACAGGCGCCACGGCAGCTCAACTTCCAGACGGATGTCCCTACCCTTCCCTAGCGTTTCCGTGTATAGTGGGGGACGGGGAAGGGAGAAAAGCTTTGCCCCTACACGTCGCCTTTTGGTGGAAAAACTATTGTGATTGCGGCAGATAAAGACACTGTTAGATGCTTGGCCACCTATAGAGTCGACTCCTGGTTCAACCATGACGAGCGGAGGTCTGGACACCTCCACTGCCTGGGAGCCGCCGGATTACGTTCTGTTTTCGCGTTTTGGATTTGATACTGTCGTTTGGCATCCCTATTCAACGGTCCGGATTGTACGACGCCTGGCGCCTTGGGTCACAGGATAGCTGACAGATTTTGAACGTTCTCTGGCTGGTTCTCCCGGCGGGGTGACGGTGTCCGGTGCCGGCTTGGCTGAGAGGTGCTGGGAGTTGGTGGACTCCTGGTGTGTCCTCAGCCGCAGTGGGCGGCTGGCTTCTGCTCTGCCTGGATGACTTTTGCCTTTTAGTTGAGGACTGCGTTTTTGGTTTTGCCAACCAGTGTTCTCTGAGTGGGGCGGGGTTGGTACCTGTCATTCTGAGGGGCTCCTAGCTCCCCAATCATCTGCCTGTCTGTGCGTTTATTTGCCGTGAGGCATAATAATTTGCAGTGATGGCGTCATTTGTTTCGCGATTAGGCTTGACGATTCAACCTTTCCGGGCTTAGTGTTTGAATCTTCACGGATATGGTGGAGCGCATCCGATCCCACGATCGTCGTCGCCCCTAAATCAACAACAACAACACCTATTGAGTCCCTGGGAAGGTGAGTCCCGGACCCTCAACCCCCCATACAGAAAACCACCAGGAAGACTGTCGACGACATCAAGTGGGTTAAAAACCACAGCAACGTCGTCCAGTGACCTGCAACGGAGCAAGAGCCTGACGCCCATCAAGCCGATACCGAGCATATTCTTTCCACCCCAAAGATTCAACTGGAAAACGGGAACACATCTATCAACTTCCTGGTGATCCTAGGTGATGAATGTGTAAGGCTTCGTAATAATTCCAACCCGTTCCCGCACTTGCGTACAGTCAATATTGACTTATTAAATAAGTGCATATGTGACATACTAATTTATTGTGAATATTTTAGTTTACCTTGAAAAGCTTCATAGAAAACACCGACCTTACCTAACCTTCTTAGTATGTTAGTATCCTAACCTTCTTAGTATGTATCGGACCTAACCTAACTTGACCCAACTTAACCTAAGGTAATTCTACCTAATTTAATCTAATGCAACAAAAGTCTTTATAAAAGAAAATGTCTATTTGCTTGTAGAGGATGTTGGAGACGAGATGCTTAGGGCTAATCTCATTAAAGCAGGATTAATGGTGATTTTCTCGGAAGTGTGATAGGGGAAGGAGGGGGGAGGGCGTCATCCTAGTGCCTGCATAAAGGGGAAGGGGGGGTCATAGCCCCATTGCCCCTCCTTCACAAAGTCTGCGGATGTGAAATATTCAGTGCAGAGCTTATAGACTAGTTTAGACTATAGACTATAGGCATTAATTTAAATAATAATGAATTAACATATTAATTTTCGAGCCTGTCTTCAGAGGAAATCCATTACCATGAGAAACTACACTCCCCTCAAACCACCTGGGTAGTTATTTAGATATTTGTGTTGGTCTAAAAGCATGTTACAGTTCCGGTAAAAGTCTACATGTAAACTGGCAAGTGAACCTTTGCCCTGAACAGAAATTATTATCAAGCTATAACTTTATTATATTATAAATTGTTGGTTTAAAAAAATATAAGTATATGCTAAAACATTTTCCTTGAAGAATTTGGTTTTCTGTAAACAGAATTCTCAGTCACACTTAGATATACCTTTTGAATTCCTTATATCACGTTAACGTTAATAATACACCGTATTAATGTTACAAAGTATAATGAAACCTAACCAACCTAAAGTAACCTTAACCGAACA